ACAGAGGGAGACTCCCTCAAAATAATAATAATAATAATGCTTTCAAGGTTCATCCATGTGGTACATGAATCATATGCTTCATTCTTCTGGGCTGAATATTATCCCACTGTATGGATAAGACACATTCTGTATATCCATTCACCCAAGACAGATATCTGGGTTGTTTTCACTTTTGTCCGTTATGAATAATGCTGCCATGAGCATTCGTGTACAGGTTTTTGTGGACACATATGTCTTCAATTCACCTAGGAGTGAAATTGCTGGCTTGAATGTGTTGTTTTTATAATTTAAGAGAGAGGAGAGAGAGTGAGAGAAAGATGTTTTTAGTGGAAAGCATTGAGTTTCAGTGCCACCAAACTCAGAACCACACAAGTTCCTTTTCCTGCCACACAGAGGACAAGGTATTAATGTAGAGAAGACAGCTACAGAAAACAAGGCCAGGTGTGGTGGTTCACGCTGGTAATCCCAGCAGTTTGGGAGGCCAAGGCAGGAGGATTGGTTGAGTCCAGGAGTTCGAGACCAGCCTGGACAACATAGTGAGACCTCATCTCTACCCTCCCCCCCAAAAAAATCAAAAAATTATCTGGGAGTGGTGGCATGTACCTGTAGTCCCAGTCAATCAGGAGGCTGAGGCAGGAGGATCCCCTGAGCCCAGGATATTGAGGCTGCAGTGAGCCAGGATCAGGCCACTGTGCTCCAGCTTGGGCAACAAAGTGAGATCCTAACTCAAAAACAAAAAAAATCATAATATCTGAAGCAATCTCCTGATCAAATATCACTTTTATTCTTCTTCCTGTGTTTTGAAGCTTTTGGGTATATTTTCCTACACACCAAACTACATCCATCCAACAATCCAGTTGGCCAAGAAAAGAGAGAGCACTGATTCCATTTGCAAGCTCTGCTGAAGTGTCACATGCTAGAAAATGTGTGTGTTCCTCTCGCTTGACTGTATTCCAGCAATGCTAGAGTCATCTGTCTACGTACTCACAAAGACAGACCCTCCTTGTCACAATCCACGAGGAAAAGTGTGGGCTTTGCGATGCCTATCTTAAATTCCATCTTGGCCAGGCACAGTGGCTCAAGCCTGGCATCCCAGCACTGTGGGAGGCTGAGGCAAGAGAATTTCCTGAGCCCAGGAGTTCAAGACCAGCCTGGGCAACTTGGCAAGACCTTGTCTCTACAATAAATTAAAAAATTAGCTGAGCGTGGCAGTGCGTGCCTGTAGTAACAGCTCCTTGGAAGACTGAGGCAGAAGGATCACCCGAGCCCAGCAGGTCGAGGCTGTGGTGGCCATGAGTGTGCCACCGTGCTCTAGCCTGGGCAACAGAGCAAGACTACGACTCAAACAAAAATTCCATCTCAGACGCGTCTCAGCTGTGTGGCCCCAGCCAGAAAACTTAACCTTCCTGAGCTTCAGTTACCCAATTAACTGTGCCTGAGGACACCCACCCGTTTGGAGTCTCTGAGAAACAAAAGCCAGCGTGGCCTAAAGCCTGCTCTTCCCGAAGTGTGACAGCGGCTGCCACTGTTGTTCATGTTCTTGTTCGTATTCACTGTGGTTACCCTTAGAGGAACGGTAAACACAGGTAGAAAGGCGCTCTTCTACAAGACAAGCACGGGCCTGCTCCTCTTATGCGCTCATCCCAGTTTAAAACAGACAGATCATCCCATAAGGCATGGCGGAGGAAACAAGAAAGTCCAAGTCACAGCGTCATTTGTGTTAGAAACAAAAATGATCGCATCGTTTAGGTTCATGAGCTGCACCTACTTAGGATTCTTACTTCAAGGTCGTTATATTCCCTTTGATGCGGTAAGAGGAAACAGCCTATTTTAATGAACAGTCAGACTGTTTTATCCTATAGCAGATCATGGAAGGGAAAAGTCATTTAGGCAAAGAATCACAGGCATCCTATCTAGCTGGGGCATAAGTCGGGGCTACTGGACTTCTGGATACTACAAGAGGGGACCCAAAAATAGAATTTGTTTATAAAAGATCGTGTGTTGATTCTCATATGTTTACACTCCATCGCTTTCAAAGTACTCTCTTGGATGCAACACACTTAGCGAGATGCGTTCTCCACCACCCAAAACAGGTTTTGAACTCATCTATTTTGATGCCTTTTAGCGCTTCTGCTGTTTTTTGTTTCGCCTCTTCCACATCGGCAAAACGTTTCCCTTTGAGGACTTTTTCATCCAGGAAACAAGGAAACGTCCATCGGGGTGAGATGAGGTGACTAGGGAGGGTGGGACACAGGGGTCAGGCTGCTGTGTTTAGTCAAAAATTGCTGAACACTCAATGGGGTGTGGGCAGGTGTGTTGTCATGGTGGGAGAACCAGGCACCTGTTGGCCACAGAAAAATTCCCTGAAGCCGAACGCAGACTCTCACAACAACACCAGCTGGTCCATGGAAGCCAATGGGTTCCTAGAATACTTACCTAGCAGGAGATTCCTGTACTACAAGGAGCCCGCCCTCCAAAAGATAAATTCGGTTTTTGAGGGGTCCCCCCCTCGTAAATACAAACACGTCAACATGTTCCACTAGAAGGCATCACTGCCAGTCACTGCTAAGATGCCAGCTCAGTTCTCCCATGTGGCAGTGAAATCTCAACTCTGTAGAGCCCTAGTTAGATGGATTATGATTGGTTTTAAGGAAGGAGACAAAAGTTGGAGAACTGGAATCAGGCCTTCAGTCATGAAACATCCGGCCTCTGCAGCTCTAAAATGGATAAGTAAACATTTAATCAAATGTGCAACACTGTCAGTATCAAAATACAGTATCATATGATGGGAATGATCATTCTAATGCAGTCTTTGTTTGTTTGTTTTAGAGACAGGGCCTCGCTCTGTCACCCAGGCTGGGGTATAGTGCCATGAGCACAGCTCACTGCAGCCTCAAACTCCTGGGTTCAAGCCATCCTCCAGCCTCAGCCACCCAGATAGCTCAAACTACACCTAGCTTAATGCAGCTATTTCTTAACAAAAAAAAAATTCTGTTTCACTCACTTTTGGTCTTATCACTAAAGAGAGAATTAAACTCTCAAGGGAGGCAGCCAGGCAATCCAATACTCTGTGAAATGCAACACCCTGGCAGAAATTAAAGAGACAAACTCTAAAATGCATAGGAAGGAACCCAAATTAAGTCGGGCACTTACAGGCACTTTTTTCCTAAAAAGACCTAATGCCGGTTGTTCTATCAATCACGTCCATTTAGATTCTGAATGATTACCTATCCCCAGGAACTACCCACAGGATCCACCAATTCATGACCAGGTCCTGCCTGACACTCCTCTATCTCTCCAACACCTTCTCCGTTTCGCTTCTCCCTTCCCAGGTATCGAAAAGCTACGCATTCCCTATGCTGTGTTCCTAGCCTCTGGGGCAGACACTGAGGATGGGTAGGATACAAGCACATCAAAAGGAGAAAGTCAAAGTCAAGGCCTCTCCTAAAAGGAGGGGGAAATATTTTGATTTGTCACGTGTGGATCAATCAGAATTCATGGACAGCCATCAGATGCTTATAACACAAGCCAACTTTTTGTAGCTAGATAGATACATACATACATACACACACACACACACACACTTCTTCCTTCTGTCGCCATTTCAGACAAGGGAGTGCCTGGCTCTGCTGAAAGCCCCGTTCACAGCCAGTCTGCTGGATGACATCCCGCTTGGTGGGAGACATGTGACATCATTCTGATGACCAGGTAGCACTGTGTTCCACACCCATAGGTGAGACCTTCCTTAGTAAACAGCAGGAATCATGGTTGGGGTATAAAAAGCAAAACAAGAGCACGAAGACACCAAATTTTCTTTTCAGGATAAACATAAGAATAAAATTTAAGCCATTCTTTTTATTCTGAGGGTTGGAGTCTCACTTTGGGTTGCAGTGGCACGCTCACGGCCAACGCAGCCTTGACCTCCTGGGCTCAGGTGATCCTTCCATCTCAGCCTTCCAAGTAACCACAGGCACGCACCACCATGCCCAGCTAATTTCTTGATTTTGTGATTTATTGTAGAGACGCAGTCTCACCAAGTTGCCCAGGCTGGTCTCGAATGCCTGGACTCAGGCAGTCCTCTCGCCTTCGTCTCCCAAAGTGCTGAGAAGACAGTCATGAACCACTGCGCCTGGCCTTAAGCCATTCATTTTATCTGAAACTAATCAAGCCCCAAAAACTGTGTCATGAAAACACACACATCTTAATTTGCAACTTAACAACAACAAAAAAAGCACGCTAGGAGGTGTCACCTTACATATAAAATATGACAGAAGAAAGGAGCACGATGAGGCAGCTGTCACATGCACCGAAGAGCGGCCACGGGCATTCGAAACACAGCACGCATGCCCACATGCACTGTACCTGAACTCCCTGCTCTGCCACGCTGCATGTCGACAGAAAAGCAAGACAAAAACAGGAACACGTTAGCAGGATGGACACACGCCCTGGCGCGGAGAGTCACAGAACCAACTCCCACGCTTTCCTATCCAGCATCCAGCAGGGACCAGTCACAGAGCGATCCGCGTGTAGCTCGGCTAAGAAACCACGCAGCTCTCAGTCGTGAGTGGATTACCCGAGAGATGGGTTTCTGTCATTCTCAGAAACCAGAGCACATTGCTCAGAGCCTGTCCATGAGAATCTCCTTCTCTAAGTCGACTCTTTAATTCCCTCACGGGGCAGCACACAGACTCGAAAAACAAGGATCTACCTTTTAGGCTGTGTCTATCTGACGCCGTTTTAAAAATAAGGATTCAGGTCATCATTCAGCACCAGGTCAAAATGACCCCTGGCCAGGTGTGGTGCCATCCCAAACGCAGAATAAAGCGGAGATGGTGGCGCCTGCCTGAGGCCTGCCTTTTAACTGGAAGGGAGGAGGCTGTCTGAGTTGCTGAGTTCTCGGAGCTGAGAACAGAAGCGTGAGTTGAAAACGTCTCGGCAGACTCGAAAGCCCGATGACCACCAGCCCGGCCTTCCCGACACGCCCGGCGCCCAGCACTCACGTCTCTTCTGCGACACTGCCTGCAGGCAGGCCGTCACCATGTCGCAGTTCCGCTGCACTTTGTGCAGGAGCCTGTCTTTGCGCTTCAGCTGCCGGAGCAACTGTGCCGACTGGACCCCAACTCTGTAGCTCAGCTCCTGGAGGAGGGTCTTCAGTTCACCGGTATCTGTCAGAAAAGGAGAGAGGGGAGTCAGAGCCACACACTGAGAGGAAGACACATTCCAGCATGAGACTCATCCAGAGACGGATATCTGGGCCATCCAATTAAACCCCCTAATTCTAGGGTCTCCCCCAAGACTGCACGTCTGTGTTCAGTTTGGACATTCTGGTCCTCTCCTGCCGGATCCATGAGACAAGGCACTGTAACATAAATTTTCTCCTGGCTGGGCACAGTGGCTCACACCTGGAATCCCTGCACTTTGGGAGGCTGAGGCAGGAGGACTGCTTGAGCCCAGGCATTGGAGACCAGCCTGGGCAACAAAGTGAGACCTCTTCTCTGCAAACAAATACGTTAAATAGCTGAGGCCGGGTGCGGTGACTCAGGTCTGTCATCCCAGCACTTTGGGAGGCCAAGGTGAGGGGAATGCCTGAGCCCATGGGTCCAAGAACAGCCTGGGCAACTTGGTGAGACCTCATCTCTACAATACATCAAAAAATTAGCCGGGCATGGTAGTGCAACCCCGTAGTTCCGGCTACTTGGAAGGCTGAGGCGGAAGGATCACTTGAGCCCAACAGGTCAATGCGGGGGTGGCCATGAGCATGATACTCCACTCCAGTCTGGGCAATGGAATAAGACTCTAACTCAAAAAAAAAAAAAATTAGCTAGGCATGGCGGCGCTCGCCTGTGGTTCCCGCTACTGAGGAGGCTGAGGCAGGAGGATTGCCTGAGCCAAGAAGGTCGAGGTTGCAATGAGTTGTAATCATGCCACTACACTCTAGCCTGGGCGATAGAGTGAAAACCTGACTCAATAATAATAAGGCATTTTGTTCATGCTAACAGGGTTGACTGCAGTAAGACTGAAACGTGGGCAAAACAGATCCTCACAGGGCTTATAAACAATTCATAGCGTGGTCACTCACGGAGTCCACCTGCAAATCTGCACTGTGACCTCTTCTTTTTTTTTTTGGAGTTGGAGTCTCACTCTGTCGCCCAGGCTGGAGTGCAGTGGCATGCTCAGGGTCACCTCAGCGTCGCCAGCTGGGCTCTGGAGGTCCTTCCCCTCAGCCTTCCAAGTAGTCGGAACTACAGACGCTTGCTACCACGCCTGGCTAATTTTTTTAATTTATCATAGAGACAAGGTCTCGCCAAGTTGTCCAAGCCAGTCTCAAACCCGCAGGCTCAGGCAATTCCCACGCCTCGGCCTCCCAAAGTACTGGGATGACAGGCCTAGCCATCGGCCGTGAGCTCTTCTTTAAACTTTAGCTTGCCAGTTTCCTCTTCTAAAAGGAAATTACGAATCCCTCAAATTCCCTTGGTAACGAAAAGCAAACAGACTTTTAAAAAGAGAAAGCCAATTCATAATTCTTCAAAACTGATTTCTTTTGCCACACAGAGACACTCTGCAAACAGCCAGATGACTGTCTAAAACGAGGTGGCCTGACTCCAGCCAAAGTCCCAGTCAGGGCAGGAAGGTGGGAGCCATTTGTAACAATCAACTGGGAAAAAAAATCTTCACTAGGAAGTCCAAAGAGGAAGATGAACACTGTTTGCACAGGGTTGAGAATGCAGACAGGTTTATTCTTTTCCTGTTTGCTTTTTGTTTTTTTTTTTTTCTAGAACCAGCTAGGCTGATTTTACAAAGAGGACAGGAGACTCTCTCTCCTCCCCACCTCTGGCAATTTAGCACAAGGACATCACTTTCAAGAAATGTGACGGTGGCTTAGATACACACAGGCACAAGGATGGACACAACAGACACTGGGGACTGCCAAGAGGAGGGCCAGGGAAAGGAGTATGGGATGAAAAGCCACCTACCGGGTACCATGTCCACCACCTGGATGACACGCTCGGTAGAGCCCCAAGCCTCACCACCACCAATATACCTACCTAACAAACCTGCATTTGTACCTCTTGAGTCTAAAATTTGAAGGGAAAAAAAAGCTGGGCATGGTGGCTCATGCCTATAATCCCAGCACTTTGCGAAGTCGAAGTGGGAGAATCATTTGAGCCCAGGAGTTTGAGACCAGCCTGGGCAACATAGCGAGAAGTCATCTCTACAAAAAGTTTCAAAATTATCTGGCCATCGGCCAGGCGCAGTGGCTCATGCCTGTAATCACAAAACTTTGAGAGGCTGAGGCGAGAGGATTGCCTGAGTTCAGGGTTCAAGGTCAGCCTAGGTAACTTGATGAGACCTCATCTCTACAATAAATAGATAAATAAATTAGCCGGGCATGGCGGCACACTGTAGTTCCAGCTACTTGGAAGGCTGAGGTGGATCACCTGATTCCAGCAGGTTGAGGCTGCAGTGGCCATGAGCGTGCCTGGGCAACAGAGTGAAACCCTGACTCAAAAAAATAATTAAAATATTAGCTGGGTATAGTGGCATGTACCTGTCATCTCAGCTACTCGGGAGGCTGAGGTGGAAGGATTGCCTGAGCCCAGGAGGTCGAGGCTACCGTGGCTGTGAGCACGCCACTGCACTCCAGCCAGGGCAACAGAGTGAGACTCTGGATCAAAAAATAAAAAGAAATGTGACGGTGGCTTGCAAGTTTTCCACGCCTCATCTCATTTTGTAGACTGAGACCTTGATAGATCTGAACAAAAAGACAGCCACAACTGCTTCATGGCTGAAGGGCAAGCTGCTATGAGGAGTGGAGGGGGGAAAAAACCTCTCCGCTGGAACAGGAGCACAGAGCCTGAAGGCCAAGGCCATCTCAGAGCAACCTCTCCAGGCCATTGGAGATGCCAGCGGCTAAATCCTGCAATGAGGCCGGGACTCCAGGGCCTCCACTCACTGGCCACCCGGAAGGAAAAGTGGAAACACCTGGTGAGCTCCCGGAACCCGGCGCCCAGGCAGAATTCACACGCTCTGCTTCGAAACCGCATTATCGAATTATTCTGCCTCACTCGCTAAAACACTAAATGGTGTGACCAGGGAAGGCCGGCTTAAAAAAAAAAAACAAACCAGTCCTAGGAGTCGCCATTCCCAGCACCCTCTAGGTGACTTTGAGAACCTGTGCTAACAGCTGTTCAGGTGATATCAGAACCTGGACTGTCTCCCCTAGGGCCTCTGCAAACACCTGGGTGGGAGAATGGGAGGCCGGGGAGGGGGACCCGCATGCTCAATCAACTGAGGCCACCACTCGACAGGGAATGGGAGTGCTGGGGACATTTATAACAAAGTGTTGGCCAGACTCAGTGGCTCACTCTTTGGAAGTTCACTTCAGGAGGCTGAGGGGAGAGGATCACTTGAGGCCAGGAGTTGGAAGACAGCCTGGGCCACAAAGTGAAACCCCATCTCTGGGGGAAAAAGTTTTGTTTTGATTAGTCAGGCATGGTAAGTAGGGAGCCTGTAGTCCCAGCTACTGGCGAGGATGAGGTGAGAGGATCGCTTGAGCCCAGGAGTTTGAGGTTGCAGTGAGCTATGATTGGGTAGCTGCACTCCCACCTGGGTGACAGGGTGAGACCTTGTCTCAAAAACAAGTTTTTTTTTTATTAAAACATTTTTTTTTAAAAAAAGAACCAAGTATTGGTGCTGAATCTGCCCCTCCCTCACTCCCTGAGGGCACCCGAGTCAGATACACATACAAGTCCCAAACTTAGCATCTGAGCACTTCACCAAGAAGCCCGGGTGCTCAGCCCGGGTGTTCTCAGGTGCTCAACTCAAGTGCTCAGTCCTGGTCCTCAGCCCAGACGCCCCCAGGTCCCCAGCCCAGGTCCCCAGCCCAGACTCTGCCCAGATGCTCCCGGGTACTCAGCTCAGGTGCTCAGCCTAGATACTCCCAGATGCTCAGCCCAGACTCAGCCCAGACGCTCCCAGGTGCTAAGCCCAGGTGCTCAGTCCCAGATGCTCCCGGTCCCCAGCCCAGGTGCTCAGCCCGAGGCTCGCCGGGTCCCCGGCGCGGGCGCGCGTGTGGCACACCCATCCTGTCCTGAATGGATGCAGGGATTTGTACGTGAGAGGACACATTGTAAGTAAATTTCATAGAGTAGTTTAAACTCCTTTTGGTGTAAGTCTCCATCACTTTGTGTAAAATATTCCTACTAATTCTGATGGTTTGTGAGATTTGAA